GGCCCAACGAGTCAGGACCTGCTAAACTGAACTGACCCTTTGCCAGGCCAGCTCGGGACAGCGAGGAAGAGGAAGATGAGGAGAGGCGGGGCCGGGGCTGCGCCCTCCAGTACCAACACGCCATGGTGCGGGTGCTGACTCAGTTTGTGGCCGAATCTGCTGACCCTGGGGGCCCCCTGGCCCACCTGCTGGGCTCCGACTGGCAGGTGGACATCACGGAGCTGGTGAAGGAGTTCATGCAGGTGGAGGACCCTCGGATCGCCCGGCTACAGGGGGGGCAGGTCCTGGTGGGCCAAGAGCTCGGGATGACCACCCTCCAGGTAAGACGTCCTCAGGGCAAGGACGCTCCTCTTTTCTTTATATTTTAAATATGTTTGTATTGGATTTTAGAGAGAGGGGGTGGGAAAGAGAGAGAGAGAGAGAGAGAGAGAGAGACATCAATGAGGGAGAGCATCGTGCCTTCTGCCCGGCTCCTATTGGGGACTGAGCCTGCAACAGGGCATGTGCCGAGATGGGATGGAACTGTGACCACCTGGTGCCCGGGACGATGCTCAACCCCAGAGCCACGCCGGCTGGGCGCCCCCCCCCCACACACCTCTTGAATGCCACGCAGGTCATCTCCGCGGTGGGGCAGGGGCCGCGCTCCGCCCTGTCCGGCCCTTCCCATCTTGCTGTTATTTAAAAAGACAGGAACTTGTCACGGGCAGGACAGTTTTGGGAAGAAGACACCAGGAAGCGCCGTTTCCGCTTGTCATGCGGTTCTGTTTCCAGATCCTGTCGCCCCTGTCGGACGCCATCCTGGCTGAGAAGACCATCACGGTGCTGGACGAGAAGGTCACCGTCACGGACCTGGGGGTGCAGGTGGTGGCGGGCCTGTCGCTCTCCCTGCAGCTCAGCCCAGGGAGCAACAGGGCCATCTTCGCCACAGCCCTGGCTCAGGAGCTTCTGCAGAGGCCGGGCCAGGTACAGAGGCTGGGACACCGCAGGGTGGGGTCGCATCGGGCAGGTCACACCCCAGGTGAGGTCACACCCCAGGTGAGGTCACACCCAGGTGAGGGCACACCCAGGTGAGGGCACACCCCAGGTGAGGTCACACCCCAGGTGAGGTCACACCCAGGTGAGGTCACACCCAGGTGAGGGCACAGTGTTAACAGATTTGCACACGGAGACCCCTCGCTCCCCAGAGGTGAGACGCATTGCCTCTTGGGAGGAACGTGGGATTTGGGTGAACCTCGCTGTGCACGCAGGTGGTGGCCTCGTGTTGTGGGGTGCCTCCCCCCCCCACCCCCCGGCCCCGGGGCGTCATTGGGTGGTTTTCCTCCGCTTCACCTCGTGTCGGGGTGAGTTTTCTTTCCTACCCCGAGTTCTGCGCACCTCCTGTTTCTACACGGCGCACCGGGCGCACACGGCGCACCCCCTCCTATGCGAACATTAGCCCATATATAAACATATACAGAAGAATCTCTCTGAAAAGACAAGACACACAAGAAATTATCGATGATGGTTGTTTCCAAGCAAAGAATTGGAGGTCAGGATGGAAAGACTATACCTTCTTGTACTCTTTGTATTTTTACCCAGTGCTTATAATAACTTTTTTAAAATGCTTAAAATTTTATCTCTTGTGCTGTGGGATTTCTTAGTGTTTAGCATAATGCACTGCCAAAGCTAAACTGCCACTGCAGAATTCGCAAAGGAATAAAGTCATAGTCCAATAATATCCACAAAGAAATACACAACCTATCTGATTTCAGGAATCTGTAAGGTGTTCTTATTCCTTTACAATAGCCAAATGGTCTTAACTAAAACACCTTAAACCAGTAATTTCTCAGTCGGGGATCATTCTGTCCCTTGGGGGATACTTGGCAACATTTTTGTCTGTCACAACTGAGGGGTGTACTACTGGCATCTAGTGGATGGAGGCCAAGAATGTTGCTGAACATTCTATCATGCAAGTATAGAACCACACAACAATCCACCCAAAAAGTCAGTAGAGCTGAGGTAAGAAACTGCAACCCAAATAATCATTCTGTTCAACTCTTAAAGTAACTAGGTTCTTCATTAAAGTTACCTACAAAACACACAATAAAGTCTCCCCTTAAGTAATGAAATAAAATCCTATATAAGGACTAGCAGACTAAGGGCTCAATAAATGTAACCATTGTTGGCCACTGCTGTTACTTTCTGAAATTCTAGCAGCTAGAATGGCTTACAGGTTTGTGTGTCTACTAAATTCAATACATTTCAAGATTTCTAAAGTACTTCTTCTAATGCCTTCCAAAAGTGCAGGCTAAAAGATTTTAAGAGATTACAGATTACCATTCTTTCCTGTTTTTAAATATCTGAAGAACGTCCCCCACCTCCAAGAGCCTGAGGGTGACCTTCACCACCTTCACCTCCATCTCCTCCCCGGAGGACAGGGGCCCCGCGGGCGCCCCAGGGACGGGCGGCGAGGAAGACTCGGGCTGGGTCTGCCGGGCCCTGGACCCGGGGGAGCAGGACCCACGCGGCTACGTGGAAGGGATCCTCCGGGATGACGCGTAGCGCGCACGAGCGCGGACAGTGGTTCTCACTCACCTTTTCGCCTTTAATTTGGGGGTGGGCGGCCAGGGTGCCCCGCCGGGGGCGGGGGGAGGAAGGAAGGACAGGACGAGACCCCGGTGACATTGTCAACAGAGTCCCAGGAAACACCCCTGGCTCGGCCCGGAGGCCGGATCCCTCTGGACGCCCATGTCCCCACGGCCAGGGTCAGTGGCAAGGCGCTCGTCACGCGTGGCAGGATGTTTGAAACAGGGGAGAGAAATACAGCCTGGATCTCTGTGAGCCTCCAGGGACGAGCGGCCCCTTCTCTCTAATCAGGGGGTCGGGTGTGAGGTCCGCGTGGGTCCGCCGCTCAGGGTGTGGACGAGGGAGGAACGCTGACCTGGGATGAGCGGAAGTGGTCGCTGGGGACGTGGGTGGCGGGACCTGGGGGGCACGTCTTGCTATGAGCGTGCCCCGCGGGCCCTGGGAGGCGTGGTCACAGGCCATTCCGCCCAAAGGCAGGGCCAGAGCGGCCGGCTGATCTGCAGAGCCGGGCAGTGGCGCACCG